GCCCTCCCTCCTCCTCAAACCATGCAAGGAGGTCACTTATTAAGCAGCTTACTTCGCCTGCAGGTAAACCCGGCCTTGATACTAACGTCTATCCTCCGTTTTAAACATAGTGGAACTTCAATATTTTGAGCTTGAAGGAGAGGTGGGCATTATCATCCAATCGGGAGCTCCAATACCAAAAATTTAAGTCGTAACGACAGTTTATGAAAGAATAAAAAAAAAACAACTCAAGCTATCGTTAACGTCTGGAAAGCCACACAAATCCTTTAGCCAATAATCTTTTAGATTATAGTGTAGATTACCCAGATTACCCAGAACCGATTACCTAGATTTTAACCCTTACAACTCCATTATAAATTTCCAAATTAGTTACAATTTATATAGTCGCATATATTCCTCAACTTGACTCCTAACCAAAAGTAATAAAATGACTGTTCTAAACATAAGAAGATTGAAATGTACCACTAGGATACTTTCACCCACAAACTGCTATTGCCAACTATCAATGTTAACATATTTACTAATTATTTTATTTTAAAATACATTGTAAGTTTACTTTGTTCAGAATTTTAAAAAAAGAACGTCGTATCGAAGCTCCCAATTGGATGACAAGTGCCTCCCTCTCCTTCCAGCTCACGACCTTTGAGAGCCACTACGTTTTAAATCGGAGTATAAGAACAGGCGTCCGGAGCGCATGCAAATATGTCTGGACTGCGCTTTATCGCTCTCCCACGACCGCGTCGTGGCGGCGGCAGATGCACCGTGACGCGGAGACGTGGCTCAGCTCTCCGCCGCGCCGCGCCGCGCCGCGCCGCGCCGGACTCGTCGAAAAGCCACCGGCCACAGAAGCAACCGGTTTCCTGGACAGCGCCATATAAACCCCGAGAGCCCAGTTCAGCCGCGACCGACCGGCCTTCCACCAACAATGAGCCTCGTTACGCAGGTGAAATGAGCGGCTTAAAGGGCCCTCCAGCCCGAAAGCGCGCCTCTCTTTCTGGTCATTTGCGCGACTGCCCTTCGCGAAACGCTCCACTGTTGATGATGTCGGATTCAGGTGGTCGTACAAGTTTTTGCAAAATACCGACAACCAGGAATACACAGGAAAGGTCAATAAAAATAAATTGAAAGAAAGAAGAAAGGTTTACGAAGTGTAAACTAAAAAGAACTACAGATGACATTCTTTCCAAGGTACTCGTACAAATCGTAACATACTAACTTATATTTTATTTAGGAAATTTCAGAAGGGACTAGTAAGTAGGATTCTTATACAATTTAATTTAAAAAATATACTTTATATCACCACCATTATATAAACCACGAAACAAGCAAATAAAATGAATATGATGAATAACTGTGAATCTGGGGCAGTTTCCCCCCAACGAAACTAACATGAATTGACAAAAATGGAACGCGAGTGCGAATACGAAATAACATGTAATCACCGTATTCATAATTGGTCTCCTACAATTACTACGTATTATGCTAGAATGACCGCAGCTAAGAGAATGAATTGAAGTCCGCGGTGCCAGTGGGAAATGGAGAGAGTAATGACAAAACGGAACATTATTACACAACTGACTATAGAAATGAACATGTGGCGAGGGAAGACCACAAAATCCATTTCCGTTTGCGCGACTTCGGTGACTATAATTGAACTCTGCATTTACACATCTGCTTTTGATTCCGCTCCCTCTCCATCGAGAGAAATTCATATTCTCAATTATCTAAAAACATAAAATACGTATTTGACACATCTGCGCATCTATCTCTTTGCTTTTGTTTGTTTGTTGTTGTTGGGTTTTTTTTTTTTTCAAAAAAAAAACAACAACAGTCATCAGTTCAATTCCCTAGAGATACATTAATTTGGCGCGCATTGTCTGAAAGGTAGAGCAGAGTTAATGAATGAGGAAGAGGTACTGTTACTCAAGTTGTCTGTTCATTAACCTACTGTATTTTCTTTGTTTTGTCTCTGATTGCGCTGTCTCTGCGTTCTTGATTGTGCTGCAGTGGGAACTAGCAAACTAAGGCAGCGTACGAAAAATCACATGATATTAATTTTATAAATTAGATAAATTAAAAATATTAAAATGTAAATCGACAATAAAAAATGATTTCATTTTGTTTTTGTAAAATATATGTGAGCACGAATTTTAGTTCAGTGACTTGTTCGTTTTCCTTACAAGGTTTTTATCTTTCAATAGAAGTACACATTCCAATATGCATTACAATTCGCTGGATGACCTTGCAACAAACATGACTGGGTCACCCGATAAGATAAGAAATTCCAAAACTTCTTCTCCACACAGTACCAATTAAAAGTGGTATTCAGGTTGTGTTTCTTTTCCAAACAAACAGGCAGGCAGTGACAAAGAAACGTTTGATTTGTAACAATTCTATTTCGTTCCTTGAAATGTACACTGCGTGCGTTTGAGCACAAACAAACTGCGAAGTCATTGGCATTAAACTAACACACACTTTGCGGTTGTACTACCTACAGAAGGCAAACCTGCAACACGACGCAGGATAACTAGTGACTTTCTCAAAATAATGACTTGACGTATTTTTGTGATTATTTTCCTTGTTTCCAATACGTTGTGTTTTATTTGATTATTATGTTTCATTCTTATGTTTCATTAGATCTTGCATTCCCATTACAAGCATTTTTTCATATTTCTAGTAGCACGATTCATTACTTAGTATGCACTAATTTTACAATAACATACAAACTTTCTAAAGAGAAAATTTAAAAAAAGTTGTCAACATTTTATGAAGAAAATACATGTAATATTAACGGTAAATACCATTACCTGCTCCTGAAGTTCGAACGATCGATGTAATTAGTGGAACGCTGAAATTAACTGATCAAAACCTTTTTGAAAATTTTTGGAAAAGTATGTATATTAACAAGTACAAGTATTAATAATAAAAAATATTAATGTAAACTTGTTTTATTACCCTGAAATCGCTGTTATAATTGAAATATGCCGACATATTCTTGATCACTTTTAAAGTCGGTATGTTTACGAGTTCGTTACATGTTCAGGAGTGGCAGTACTCTGTGTATGGTGTATTATGTGCATGATGAACAGGTACTGTATAAATTACAATGTATAATGTTACATTACTTGTCATCTTAAAGTTTTTCGTTATTAAATGTGGCATTATAATCACTGACCGGTCATGTTTTACAATTTTCCATCTCGAAAATGCATTATTATACATAAAGGAATATTCCATTTAACGCGAATTCATTATATTCTGAAAGGACAAAAATATAGAATAAAAACATGATATTTGAAATTAAAATCACGACCTACTTTCTCGCGGCTTTGAACTCTATTGGTCTATCAGTCGGCACTAACTGTGACCACCACACCAGCTGTAGAGGAATTATTCTTAGAAGGGAACACGTTGACAGATCGGGTTACAAATGAACTCATGCAGGGTGATGTCACTGCAAGAGGTAGTGAAGAAACCATTTACAAATGAGCTATCTGTAAACCACCGCACCGACAAAATGAGTGCACGGCCATAACCTGCAGTTATGTTGCCAGCAGTGGCCAAGGTGTATTTGCCAAAGCGGTCAATTTGTCAGCGGGGTATTTGTTCCTGTTTTTAGTAATCTCTCTATATTTCGTAGCGGTCTGCATAGCGTGCTCCCTTTAAACCGTCCCTGTTTCCTCGAGGGGAGAGGGTGACAACTGGACTCAGGCAGCCAGGCTGGCAGGCGTGGCCGAGGTCCAACTCACGCGTGTGATCGAGGGCTCCCCTTGGGCGGCGCCAGGCAGTCTCCCCGGGGCGGCGCCCCCGCCCCGACCCCGCCGCCCCCGAACGAGCGGCCCGTGCCTGGCGCACGCGGAAGAGACCCCACCAGCCCCTCCCCACCCGCCGCTCCAAGGACGCAAGGGCGCAGGGCGGCGCGCGATGGGGTTGTCCTTCCAGGGAGCTATCGATCTGAGTGAGGCACACGCCCGCGGCACGGCACCGCCACGTTGGACCGCTCTGCAGCGCTGGATGCACGCAGCCTCCCTTGCGTACGACTCGAAGCAGCTCGTTTTAAAACGTCTCTGTTTTTGGACATTGGATAAATCGTCTGATACAGTTGGCTGCCTTGAAATACAATGAATTAATTTTCAATTGCACACATAATCATTGCTTAACTTCAAAATAAAATTATGTTTTGAGATGTGAATGTCTTACTAGCACATAAATGTTAGAAATTTCTTTCTAATTATTACCCTTACTAAGCATTTGTCACGTCCACGGTATTGCAATTTGCTTTCAGTACCATTTGTATTCATTAACGTACTCCCATTGCCGTGTTGGTCAATAACAAAACTCGCACGGTATTGAGATACATAATATTCCAGTTATGGAAAACCTTGATAGGCGACTTATTTTTGTGAAATAAATATTCCGAAAACTAATTTATTAAACAATAAAATGTGCACTACTTGAATTATTCTGCGGAAAAAAATGTATATTTCAACGATTCATTTACTGAGTAAATGAAAAAAGAATGGCAAAGAAATAAAATTCTGTATTGCGTCATGCTTCGCAACGGTTTTCTGTCGAAGCATAAAATCCCTTCCCTTCCATCTGGTACAACTTGAAAATCAATAGAAATCTTTGAGCCATTTGAATGAATGATTAAATGAAGTCGATTAACCCAAGAATCCATATTGACTGTCAGACGAAGAGAACGTAATAATAACGCCTTTAAAACAAAACCCCCTCTAAGGGCAGCTCGTCCCAGCGCAGTGTTTTTATTCGAATTAGCGACGGTGGCATCCAAACGCCCGAAAACGAGAGTGGAATGCCTTCGCAGAACGGGTGGCTCTGGGGGTGCCGGATCCCTCACCACTTTCCCCTGTTCCGCCCTTCCCGCCCCTGCACTCCCTCCCCCGTCGCCGGCGGCGGCGGGAGGTACCTGCCGCTGTCGCCGCATCGGCCGCGCCCGCCGCATCACGACACCTACGGAAATAGGCGCAACTTCTTACCTGTCAGGCGCAGCGAACCGGCCGCCTCCCAGCAGCAACCGCAGCCGCCCGATCGAACCGATGAACACGTTTTTTGAAGGCAGGACGAGCAGCCGCCGCCGTTGGCGGTGTCCGGATGCACTGCTCGCTGGGCACGGGCTCCTTCCGTCACAAAGGCAGATGGTGGTGATGGTTGTTGAAACTTTGAACACACTGCAGGTTTGTTATTGTATGATTCCAGGCAACCGTTGAGAACTGTCTTCACCAAACCGATTCGATGTCTAAGTTTCGCTCCCCGCGTTTTCGGCGGAGCGGAATTCCGCCTGGGCGGAAACGCAGAGAGGGAGAGAGAGAGAGACGGCGAAACAGCGCGAAGCGAAAATCAATAAACAAAACAAACACGCCAAGCGAGTACGCACACCGAGGCAGAATAACGAGAAGTCACATGCACCACTGAAACACATCCACCGTGAGCGGGCGCCGAAGACACAAAGAGTGCACGCCCACAATCGCGTACTCCGCGGTAAGGCGAGGCGAGGCGAGCACCGGCTGACACTCGACGCACGCGTGGCGGCGGCGGCGAGCGCGTAGTAAACACTCAGCAGCAGCAGCGGCGGCGGCGGCGGCGCCGCGTTTCGAGAGCGCCCGAGCGCTCCATTGACGCGCCGGCGCCCGGTGGTGGTGGTGGTGGTGGTGGTGGTTGGAGGCGCGTGGGTGGGAGAGCCGGGGTGGCGCCCCCGCGACCCGCACACGCGCGCACGGGGAGTTGGCACGCGCGTTCACAGCGCTGGCGCGCGGAGCCTCGCCGAGGCACGCGTGCCGCGCAGCCTGCCCATGGCGCGACTGCCCGACCGCCGAGCCGAGCCGTGCCGGCCGGCCGACGGCCCGTTCGCTCGCTGGCTCGCCCGCCCGCCCGACCACGCCGCACACTGGGCCGAACGAGGCACGGGCTGCGCGGACGCAACAAAGAAAAAAATTACAAATCAATTGGAGAAATGTGTCACTTCAAATCCATTCCCGACTGAATGAATAGAAAACTACGATACATACAAATGACAACAAAACTGAATCATTGAATAGAAAGTAATACTGTTTGTCTCTCTGCCAAAATGTTAAAATAAAATTAAAACAAAAACAAAAGTCTAACTTCTAAAACCAAAAGCAAAAAGAATTATTTTATGAAAAGAGGGTTTAATAATAACGGACAAGCTAGGTCAATTGTGTTCAAAACCATTGGCAGCGTTCCAGCGGGAAACAATGTCATCTTTAGTTCTGTGACAGATGATTTCCAAGAAAATGTCACATGTCACATGTTACAAGTGTTAATCACGGTCTTACATTTACAGTTGTTTAACTGGACAATAGAAAGAAGTGTTGAACATAGAAGTTATGAGGTAATAGGAATGTTGGTATTAATGAAACGAAGAGAGCCGAGTACATCCGAACGTGTTCGACCCCTCCACACAACATTCTTTCGAAAAGGTTATGTAAATTGCAGTGTCTTCTTAACCAAACGAATGTTTGACAGGATTCTATTTTCTTTTGAAGAACAAAAATGAATTGATGCAAACAAGCAGATTCTGCAAAATAATAGTTTTCAGTACGAAGGAATGAAATCAAAAAGGAGTTTAGTTAATAAAACTTTTTAACGATACAAATTAGACTAGTCCTATGACTTTGGAAATGTTCTTACTGATGCACACCACTGAATTCTATCGACATAACATCTAAAACAATATCCACCAGCTAATACGTAACTTTCTAAAGGTAACCATTCAGATAATGAATTTTTAACCGGAAGAAGGAGCAATTAATTATAATAAGATACTGTTATACAGCTGTTTTAAATAAAGTAGTATTCTGTATTGCAATTGAAGAAAATGATAAATTAGATGATAGCTGTATTAGAGAAATAGCAACAATTTATAGAATTAGTAATTAAAAGGAAACAGAAACAACCTAATTTAATACACTTCATTACGTGTGTAAAAGGAAAATATTATAACAAATTATACACATAGTACGTTTCTCAATATGGAAACATGGTTGAAATAAACAACAAATCACAAATACCATATCATTTTTATTATATCATGTTATTGTACGTATTAGACTACGATTCGTGGGTTAAAATAAGCCCTTCGTAGCGCGCGTTTCGTAGCTTCGTAGAGTGCGCGCAACATACATGGAATTACCTTCTTCATCGAGCTCCATTCTTATTCTCTAAACTCAGTGATAAACACAATTCAGAAACCCACAAAGAAAACATTACCTTATGCTTTTGGCGCCATTTCGACCCACTGCAATGCGCGGCTCTTGCCCGGGCGGGCCGCCGCCGCCGCCGC